TGTTTACATCATGTCTTCTACTAATTGGTATTCTGTAAGGAATGTCCACTCTCCCCCCCACCCTCCCTTCTTGGCCCCTTTGCTGTGTAACACAAGCACGTAGGTATTTTATTTCATATTCGACAACTCATTACTAACATTTTTTTTTTTCAACTCATTCCAGACTTGGCCACCAGGGGCAGGAAGTTGGTCTCCTGTCCTCTGATGTTCCTCCCCTTCCCCTCATTTCAGAAGCATTTCCTTGCCAGCATTACAAGATGTTTCAGGTTCATATTCTCATTTCTCTGCTTCAGCTCTGCAATCAACCATTTTTTTCCAAGGCATCCTAAGTCCCTTTCTAACAGAAACCAGGACCTGAGCACCAGGTGTGTTCACTGCTACTGGGGTGTCTGCCTTATGTCCTTAGCCAAAGTTAGGAAACTCTGTAGTCATCACTTTATCTGTGTATATGAGACATCTGTCCATGGAAGAGCCACACAGTTCCAGCAGCTCCTCAATCCAACCTCACAGTGTTCATGCCAGCCTTCCCCTACTTTATGCCTCTCTCTTGCTTTCATTACACATCTTTCACTATCCACATTTGCCCCATACTTTATTTTGCTAGTCATACTTGGAGTATACTTACATAGAGTTCATTTCTGTTTTAGTCTTTGTGTATTCAATCAAAATCCTGGTTTTGCTGGTTTTATCCGCTACAAGTGGTTAAGGTCACTCACTTGCAGCCTAGTTCATTAATTAGCTTGTGTTTTCAGTTTCCTGTACATCATGGATGATTGAACTTATTTTGAGAGTATGTACAACATGACTACAGTTGAGTAGTGCTAACAACAGTGAGAGGCACCACTCATCTCAAATCCTTCTTATACTAACCCATTTTCTGTAGCTAACCATCTTAGTTTATACCCACCTATCCTCTTTGCTAACTGTCTTAGTTTGCACAGTTTACTCTTCCTGCGTTACTTTTTCAGATGAGCAGATACATGTATATTTTCTTATACTGTCCAGATGGTAAGCTGTAGGCATTTGTACATTTTGCTTTTTTTTAACCAATTTACCGTTTAAGAGATCTTTCTCAATTTTTATAGCTGTGCAGGACACCAGAGCGGTGGTACTCTAGTTTCACTCTTCTGTATAGACATATAGGTCATTTCCAACTATTTTCAATGAGACCCAATGCTTCTATGAGTAAACTTGCGCACTTGTATGGTTGGTATTAGGGTATTTTCCTAACAATGCTTCTGTAGCTTTAAGTTTCAGCAGGAGGATATATTTGTGGTTTTATTAGGCATTGCCAAGTTCCAGAAAGGTAGTACTAGCTTGCACTTCCAATGCTTTCAAGATGTCATATATTTGCTAAATGTATTCCATTCTTTTGACAAATGGAGGAAAGTCTTTTAAAACTATTCATACTGCTCAATTTTGATACATTTTTTTGTCTGTTCACGAGGACTGTAATTTCTTTCCCTTGCACTTTCTTTGATTTTGGTCACAAAATGAGTCAAAAAATATCCAACATTTGAAAATTTAGTGTGATCTTATTTACTTGAATTAATTTTCAGCATTTGAGAGAACGTTTTATCATGTCAACTGCCTACTTCAGATCTTTCCTGTGTTTTCTATCATGTGTTTGGTTCTTTGTATTCAGTTTTTAAGAGTTGGCCTCGTGATTTTGTAAAAGCTAATGAATATTGAGTACAACGAGCCTTTAAACTTTCCTATCACTTCAACCAAGTACTATGATATAAATGTTCACACGCCCACAGCCCCTTGAATATGGGATGTTTATGGGACTAGGTGCTGTCTTGATTGGAAAGTCAAAGTCCAGGTAAACTAAAACAAACAAACAAACAAGAAACCTCAGATATATGTGTCTATTGTACAGTCAATTGTGAAATGGGTACCTTCTTGCATTATATTAATGTTTCAGCTCATATAGTCAAACACATACTCAATACTCAGTTTAGGTGGGACTTCACTACCTAGGAGAAAGTATTTAATGTAATTCAAAGCTAGATGTTATTTTTTTTTCATAATTAGAAACATTTTGGTTATCATTTACATTTCTGCTCTCTTTGTGAAGATAAAATGGCTCTATTTCTTGTTGACAGGCTACTTTAAAACCCAAAATAAACTTGCATTATAAAGGTTATAACTTTGGCATGTCATGTGTTGAAATACTGAAAAGTTCTTTAATGACTTTTTCTAGCTACTAAAACCTGTGCAGATGCTATAAAAATCAAAGATCAATGAAAACTCAAATACAGAATTAAAGATTGTATAAACAGATACTAGTATTATTTGTACTAGGGATAAGAAAGCAACAATAAGTAGACTAGAAACTATACAACATTGCTTTGTCATCTGATGTAAAGGATGCATCATATGAGTAAAAGTTGAGATTTGTAAAGAAAGTGGTAATCAATTGCCCACAATGGAGACAGTTTAAAGTCACTGGGTAGGAGCTGTATTTGAAAGCTTATTTTACACTAGATTTATAAGAGAATTGCAAAATAAGAATGGGAAAAGAACTGGAAAAAAATAACAATTTTAAAAATAACAATTTTCTTTCTCATTTTTTAAAGACTTTTAAGATTTATTTATGTGTACAATTACTGTGGTACAATCCAGAGGTATCTGTGTATCTGGGGATGAGGTAAGAAGCATCATTAGAGACAGATGGGAACAGGTCAGATTGAAATACACTGATGAGAGAAGCAATGGGCAGGACATGAGAGGTCTGCTTGGCCATGGGTGGGGATAGAACTTACGCTGAAGTGGCTGCAGCTAGCTTGGCAGTGCTTTTCTTTAATTCACTGCACCACCATAGAGGGCTCAAGACTTATTTTTTTTATGCAGAGAACTGGGTACATGTAGGCCAGAGGTGTGGGGGTTGAGGATTCATCAGAGTGGAAAGCAGAACAGGCAGACCTATTGAAATACACTGCTAAGGCAGTGGGGGAGACAGAAGTCTGCTACATCATGTGGGTCAGCTCCCTGGTCAGGGATAGCACTCAGGTCACAGAGCTAACAGCATGACAGTGCTTAAATTTAACCCCTATGCCTTCAGGGAGGCCATAAAAATAATTTTCAAGTTATACTTTTTTTGGTGTAAAGCAAATGGATGTTTTGTTAACTTTTTCTACTGAATACTAATCAGAGTGATTATAGGTTCAGTGAATTTAATTGACCACTTTTAGGAAAAAAGCTTTTAAATAAAAATACTAAAAACAAAACTAAAAATACTAGATGTCTTCTCATCTTTCCCTTTGTGCTCCAGAAGTAAATTAAAACAAAGCTAACATAGCATGAGGAGCATAAAAGTAATGTCAAAACTTTGATAGTGTTGCTAGTCTTTAGGAACCTCAGAAACTTGATGTTAAGAGTGAATTGTGAAAAGTTTCATAATTTGGGGCCCTTCCTGGTGGCACAAGGGGTTGAAGCTCAGCACCGGAAACAAGATGCTTCAGTGCTAGTTCAATTCCTACCTGCCCCAGAGGTGACCCACATGGCATAGCAGACTTCTCTTGTCTCATCTGCTACTCCCCTCAGCAGTGTACTCCATCAACCTGCCTGTTCTGCTCCCTACTCTGTTTCTGGTAAATCCACTCATGTCCCTGAATGTCTGGCTTGTACCTCAGTTCTGTATGCATACAATAAATACATCTTTTAAAAAATGTTAAATAATTGAACTTTATAAATCTGTCTTACAGTTTAAGTGAGTTTCCTGTAGGCTGAAGAAAACACTTGCTTAGATCAATAACAAAAGGAATGCCATTATAGTGAGTTTTATCACAGTTAGCAATTTTTTTTAAAAGGGTGTTAAAAATATTCTGACCCTTCTAAAAAATATGCTTAAGTACACGTAAAAGCCGTGGATGGACTGAAAACATACATTAAAATAATAATAATGAGGGCATAATAATTAAAAAAAAAGAACACTTTTATACATAGGATTTTATTTTGCACTGCTTTAACAATTTCATTATAGACCAAGGGAGAAAAGAAAAAAAGAAAAAAAAAAAGGATAAAACCACCACACTGAGTGAATTACTTAAAACTTTTCTACTTTTTAACAGGATTTTCCATCTGGCAGGTTTATTGTCATATCTCCTCCAAAACAGACAAGATGCTTACCATATTTTAAAGATTATAGGTTGCCACTGAAAAAAAAAATTTTACACAGTCACTGTACATCAAGGTTGAAACTGTCCTGCATGAAAAATAGAAATCATGTGAATAAAAGGAAACGAAAACATTATTGTGGTTAAGGAAAGATTAAGGTCCTCAATGTACCATCTCAATGTGGACATTCAATTTTCTTGGAGTCATTTGGAGAGAGTTCTTGCTTCCACCCTTTTCACTCATTATACTGTGTTTTTACCTAGCAGTATTCATTAAGGCAAACAAATCCTTTTCTGAAGAGGTCTTAAAGAAATTGTGGACAAATAGCAAACTTTTGGCATTAAAACGATTAACACATACATAGCTATTAGTAATGTACATTAAGCATATTTTTCTTGGACTAGTGACAAGAAAAGATGAACATGCTGGTTAACAATGTCAAAAAGTTTAAAATTCAGTGTCCAAGCAATTCCTAACAATGCTTCTGTAGCTTTAAGCTCTAAACAGTATAGAATTTATGCAAATGCATTAAAGAATTCAAGCTTGGCAAAGTACACCCAAGCAGGTTATTAAACTATATATATACAGAAAGTAAATGATAAATACAGAATTAAAAGAGTCCTTCTGTTTTTCCTTATAGCCTTGAAAAGTGACAAACTTTCTGAGGACAGTTCTATAATATTAAACATTAGGTAACCAGAGGTGTTGGGAAACCTAGCTACACAAACTGATTTAAAATACTCAAGATGTCTTTGTAGTGTTTAATACAATTCAGATCTGTAGGTAAGGGCACAAGACAACATTTAACAAAAATAATCACATCAATTGACCTAGAAATCAAATGCAAATAGATATGAATACAATCTCCAAAATCTGTCTTTTTAAGTGAACATTAACCATTTATTCAAAGTTATACAAGAATTTGAAGGATTAAAGTCTTCTGTGACATAAAGCCATTTCAAACAGTTTCATGTCTCAGCTGAGCAGGAGAGGGTGAAAGAATAAGGGAGTAGGCCCCATCTGGGTAGTGAGACAGTAAAAATGAACTCAACAGCAGCCTCCCCCGGCCTGCTGTCCTCCCTGATTGCCTGCATGTGTGGCATTAGTAGCAGCATGCTGAGGGCCAATTTTAATGCCATTTGCCTGGAAAGAGAAAAACATAGTATATATAATTGGATCCAACCAGACAGTATCAGTATAGTCTAACTAAACTTTAACAATTCACTTAATTCTTTTTAACACAATTTTACCAAACAATTCAAAATACATATTGAGCAGAATCTGGCAACAATTCAAACAGTATCTCTCAGGGGATGTTCCTTCCTTTTAAAAATAACACAATGTAAACATTTCTGAAAGTAATTCTTTATCATACCAGGTACTAGGGAAAAAGAAACTGGATAGTGCTGCAGTTTGGGGAATTCTAATTATGTAGAAATTGTTTCAAATAATCAATGCAAGAAATCTTTAAATGACAAAGTATGCAAATCTTGTGCTACTCTATTACAACTTAAAAACTTTTTCTCTAGCATTTCTGTTCCATGTTGAATCAGCTGTACAGGCTAAGGGCATGAGTGTTCTGTGTCATCAATAATTTCTATGATCCCCAAAGACATGGCAGCTTGCCAAGAACCCACACACAGAGTAGTTCTTTCATTCATCAAACTCACACTTATGTCTTAACCCTCACTCCCTCAAGTGGATTTTACCTAAAAATACAACACTTTGAGAAAAGTAATACAGTAGCTTCAGAAATTAAGCTCTTAAGGAAACTTTACGTCACAGTAAATCTCAGATTTATAGTGCTTGGCAGTTGTTCTGCAACAGTAGTAGCCTTGGGGTTTCTGGCACTAGCTCAGTATTGACAGCAGCTGATGTGGTTTCTTTTCGCTCTTTTGACTCCTCTTTAATAAAAAGCATGCCCTATGGCTCATTGGTTTTGCCCCCTCTGGGCTGGTAGCAACTTCTTGAGGAATCAAGGAGTCAGACTTGGCATTAGGCCAAATAAATCGCACGGCCTGTTGGCTCCTGACAGCACATTACAATCAAAGCTACACAAGGCACAGTAAAGCAGTCAGCTACTATATGAAAATAGACAGAAACAATGAACGTGCCCTTTTAAATAGAGGTCCAATTACTGTTCAATTTATATGGCATTAGTCTCTGAACGGTACTGCCTTTAAATTAACTCAAGATCTACTGCCACAAAAGGTTAGAAGATAGTATATAGAAACTATATTATGACAAATTACAAGAAATGAGGACATCAAGGATGTTTGGAATTTGGTATAATTCTCTCTGCTTTAGCAAAGAATATTTAGGCAAAAAATGAAGAGCTCTGTTTATATACAAGCTAAGAGACACATATGCAATAGCTTCGTAACACAATGCTTTCCTAACTGGGAGAGAGGGGATGAGTTTTTTCTTTTGGAAACATAAAGTATTAATATGAAATAGCAAAAATACTTATATAAATATAGAAACATTCTGAATAATAACGATAAATGTATAGCAAGAATTTAGGTCAAAAAGAAACATTCTGAATTGTATTGTTTCAAACCTTTATATTTTATCTTAATCATACTAATCAAGTAGGCTCAAAATAATATATCCCTCCACCAAACCTCTCCCACCCTCAAGTAATGACCCAGTGCCAATTGCCAATTACCAATATATTAATTTAGTCTCTTGAAAAATGTGCCATATTATACTGGGAATAACTTCCAAATTAGGTATTTCCTTTCTTTCATGCCAGCCAACAGAAAGAGTATCTTGCATCAGTAACATAGCACATACATTTACACACTAGAAAATTATTTCCCACAGCAGATGACACCATATGGATGTGTGGATGAAAATGGATTTTCTACTCTCTTTGGGGAATTTATAATATTTTACATTGCTTGCATAAGGGGATAGGGTCACTCTTTTAAATCCAAGTGATGCTCTATTAGAATATAAACATTTAACTATTATACAACATATAACAAATTTTCAGTTTGTAAACTGAACACAGTAAAATTTGTTAACTGATATCAAAGATTTACTGTAGGAATCTAAAAATATATATAAAATCATAAATACAGGTAGTAATTAGACTTCAGTTCTAAGCTACTATCAGTAATGTTTATAAGTATATACCTCATTATTAATGTCAAAGACTCCTTCCTGGATTTTTTCATAAATTTCTTTTGCTGTATTAATAAAAGCCTGAAATACAAAGCACAGAAATTGGTTCAAATTATTTTAAACCACAACAGTAAAAGAACATTATCTAAAAGCTCCAGAGAATAATGTTCAACATAAGAAAAGTAGCCAATGTTATGCACCATAGTTTACCACTAATAGAATAAAGGACAAAGATCAGTTTCAAAAGATGCAAGAAAAGCATCTTGACAAAACTCAAACAAACTTTCATGATAAAAGACTGAAAGGAAACTTCCTTAATCTGACAAACAGAATCTGAGAAAAACCCCACAACTGTTGGGCTGTTAGAAAAGCCATTATAAATTTTTGCTTGAAAAACAGAAAAAATAAATCATGACTTTTCTGACAATCCAGTAACACCATACTCAAGTGTGTGGATGGAAAGCTTTTCCCCTAAGAATTAAAGGCAAAGATGTATAAGAATGTTAATTAGCATTTTTAGCAGTATTATTCATATTAGCCCAAAAGTGTAAACACCACAAATGTTCACCAAATGATGAGAAAAAACCAGTGTGGCATAACCTATACAAGGGAAATATTATTCAGTCATGAAGAAACGAAGTACTGACTCATGCTACTATGTGTATGAACATTTAAGAACATAAGAAACCAAGTACAGTGACTCAATGACATGAAATGTCTAGAATACACCAATCCACAGAGCAGGAAAGTAGACTACTAGTTTCAGGAGTGAGAGCTAGAGGCAAATGGAAAGTGACTCATAATGACTTGGGCTTCTTTTTTTGGGGAGGGGGTGATGAAAATGCTTTGGAATTAGATAGTGGTGATGGCTATACAAATCTAAATATACCAGATATCAATGAATAGCATCATTTAAAAAGTGTAAGAATGTGAATTGTGGTATCTGAACTCTATCTCCAAAGAAAAACTCATGACCTGGGTAGAAGGGGGAGACTATATAATGTGAAAACGGCACATACAAGAAAGATACAGAACTAGATAAAGGCATAAATCTCTATCTTAAAACTAGTTTCTTTCTGGAATTAACTGTTCCACATGGGGCTTTGTGCCATGACAGTATATTACTTAATATATAGTTTAAGAAGAAAAGAATCAAAGGATGTTTTTGTTAAAGAGGTAAAAGGCAGCCCAACTTCTTTGTCAGGTCAAATAAACTTCCACCCTTTCCTACATGATATACTACTAACTGACAAAAATTAGTATTAGAACACTGTAATCAAATCAACTTATAAATACAGAAATTGATCTGTATTATTTACATATATTAAGATGTTTTACACAATTATTGCCAATGTTACACATGGTATATTAAGTTCAGGTTCTAAACTATCAGATTTGAAAGATTACAATATGAGTCAACATTATAACTCAGGTTTTCTTCAGTTAACATTCTGTGAAAATTCACAAAAGGCTATTCAATTCACACCACAGACACAAACTTGATTCAAAATTTATCAAGTAAACAGGGTTCATGGCGGGGAACAAATCATACCTTTCATCTTTCCTACATTGGAAACATTTGACTGCTGAACTTGCCACCAGAGCTTTTGTTTCCTAATTAACAGGACTGATATGTTTTCACCTTTAAAGGCCTTACAGCTCCCTAGAGTAATCAATCTACTGCAGCTCAATTACTGCACCAAGAACACACCAGTCAGTGAAGGAGACGTGACCAACTGCGGCAGGAGCACAGAGGTATGAATATGCATAAACTCTAAGTGGCTGATCGAATCATCAGAGAGGGTCATGAGAATTTGCAGCAAAATAATGAGGAGAATTAATCATTGCAGATTCACAAGGCACTTAGGAACCAAGTACACTTTTCATGTGCGTGCTGGAGTTAAAGTGAAGGAAAATTGGCTTTTAGCCAACAATGAATTGATTCACATTCCTCTAAAATTGAAACTATCCTTATAAATGAGAAAAGAAACTTTTATTTCCAATAATATGCTGTTATAATGGTCAAGGACCAGGCTAACTAAATAATGAAGTCATCAGATTTATAAATTCACAGCCCTAGAATTCCTTATAGGGGTACTCATGTGTGTACATTTCACCAGAACATTAGACAGAACTCACAAATGAATTAAACTTCACATAAACAAGCATTTATAAGTCACATTATTGTGTCAAGTTTATATAAATAGACGGACCTTTTGCTTATCTGTTAAAAATCACAAAAATTGGCTTAAGAAAACTAAGCTGTATAAAATTTATAAGTCACTACTAACTTTATCATCTACATAATACTTAGTATTTTATTAAGTATTAGGGAAGAGGCCAGGAGAAGCCTGCTTAGGGCAGCAGACTTGTGCAAACACACAGATCCTGATTACTACTGACGATGACTCGAGTTATCAGGAGAGAGAGGCACAGTATTTGCTGTTTAACTAAGAGATACAGAACACATTTCCGAGATACTTTTAGCATTATTCTTACTAGTTTTTATGTATACAGAACACTCATTTCCTTACTGTCAGAAAAATGAACCAATCTGATGACACCTCTACAGAGAAATTTCAGTATCACTTAATAAAATACTTTAAAAGTATTTAAGCTGACTTAAAAAACATGACATGTTGAAGATCACTGCAGGTTTTATGATATGTACCAGAATCTACATTCCACATTCATTCACATACAGAGATCTAAATATTAACAAGTAGGACATAGAGAAATTCAACAAAACTTGTTTCATTGAGAAATTGATAAAAAATTTCATTATTAGCACTGAGAAAAAAAAGTTATCTATGCAGATCCATGACTGTGAGGTATAAACAGATTTCCTTACAGTCAAATAAATTTGGTAGGCCTCTTGATTTCCCACGTAGTTTGTCCTACTCAGAATCAAAACTATTTTACCAGTAGCTCTTCCCCTTTGCCCTATTTTGATGAACTGCTATGTTCAGTCCTTCACCTTGATTAGCCATTATTTGCTTTCCTTCTCGCATACTAATTCTTCAACCACCCTTTGGTGGTAGTTAAATGGTGCTGATAATACCCCCTTGTAAGTATGTTTTCAGGAACTTTACTTCTATAGCAAGTTAAAATAAACGTAACCACTAAAACTATAAATGCATTTTAAGTAAAATAAATATTTGGCAAACACTCAAGCTGATGTGTATCTTAACTATCATTTGACATTTATCCAAGAGCACCCATTAAATCAATACCACAAATTTGGCACTTCTTTAGGTACTACAGAAGATCCTGGCAAGAGGAGGACAGAGTGCCTATTGTTGCTGAATCAAAACACTTTAGTTGGGAGAATCAAGCAAAGGCAAATCTCTATGGAAGATGCAGGAAAAATAAACATTTTGTGCTAATTGACAGAGGAATACATGGCTAACACAGGTTTAGTGCACAATGTGCTAAGATTTTCACAGCTGGGGTGGGAGAATTGTGGCAAAAGGGAACATGGAATAGTACGATAGCTTTATTACGGTCTAATATTTATAAGGCAAAATACTGAAAATAAATTCTGTCTACAATATAGTATTATCTCCTTATGTGACATACTGCCACCTTGTGGTAAGATAAAAATTGCAGCATGTGTAAGGTAAATTCAAAGTAAAACATCACGGTATCTTAGTTTTATTTAAACATCTGGAACAGATGTAGAGAAAAAAGTACCTTGTAAAATGTCTTAGTTTTCTCTTAAAACTGAGAAACATAATTAAGAGTGTTCAATTTTCTTCTCAATGCTATGGACAGTATAGGTTTCCATTTGCCTATAATAACAGTATTTACTAAGTATTTACTAGGGGGTTGTCAGTGTGCTAAGTGATTTACATAGGCTTTCATTATTTCTGAAAATAAAGGTAGAGAAACAAGAAAATTTACTTGCTTTCAAGAAAACCTGTGGGATGAGGTTTACCTATAAAAGTAGCAGAATGGCCAAAGGTGGGGCTAATGGAGAAAAGAATGATCAGTACTCTTTAGTGAATTAGAACTGTATTAAAAACCTAAACATTAAAAAATATATCAGCAACACAGAGTATACAGTGAGTCCCAAAGAATAAAATACACTGAGTTAGGACAAATATACGAAGATAGGAAAAAAGACTCTTAAGAACTTAAACTTTCAAGATTAGCGAATTTAATGAAACTTCTTCAACTCTGTAACTTCAGATATTCTGATTCTATTTAGCTTCAGTGGGAAGGGTCCACATATTATCCAGTACAGTATCTTTCAAATGGTATTTCATGGAAACTTGCAGAGGGCTCAAGCGAGATAAGGTTGGAAGCAGGGAAAGCCAGTGGAGAAGAGACATTTTCTTTTCTTTCCCCCTCAAGTGTCCACACCAACACAAATTTCAAAGTCGAGCCTTTGGTCTTCCATTCCTTCATACGGTTTCCTACGCTTCACTGGAAGAAGGTGGCCACTGCTACATCTATGGATCTAATGATCTGCCTAAAACCACACACCAACTGGGGCAGAAATCAACTAGAATCTATTAATAATATTCTGCCTCCCACATTCACCTCTCCTTTATTAGGAGCACTTATCTGTAACAATTCAAAGAAATTCTTATTTATTGTGTTAGTGTTGATATTAAAATTGAACATAAAAAATGTATCTCACAACCTTCAAGAAACATTTAACTTCAAATTATACTGGATTTCTAGATTTACTTTTGGATGTATGTTAATATTTATGATTATTTACATCCTTGTGTTCTTTCCCTTTACAAAAATTAGTATCACTAGTGAGTGCTTTTTAAGAAGGAGGTGGTCTAAACAAATTCTGATCAATCTAGCAAGGAAATAAAAGTGGAGAGAAATAAGCTATTAGATTATAAAGGATTGGGGTTTATGGTATTAAGAATTTTCTGTCTTTACTTTCTGTCAGATAACACACATTCATTTAATTCTTTCATAATTTAGTTATCTCATTCAACAATTAGTGAGTGCTTGATCAGAACTAGACACTGAGGGCACTTAGGTAAATATGGATGCTTTTAACCACAATGATGTGGTAATACAGCACAATGTAAAATCTTGTAAAGGAATGTGGCATG